CTTGAGCCATTTTGGATGAGAACACCCACCACACATTGCCATCTCCAGAAATTGCCACAAGTTATTTTTAAGATGCAGCTCGTGATGAATGACAGTCTGGGTCATGCATCAGCCACCACTGGAGAGGCACCAGGGTGTTCTGCTGCAGGCAACAGAGACACTGAGGGCTGCAACAAGCTCAGGAGGACTTGGCCAGGAAGGAGGTTGTGGTCCTGGGAAAATTTGCCAAGAGTATTTGCGTTGGCACTCTCCTTCCGTCACTTTGGAGTTTTTATAGAAGGGGGAAAAGGAGGGGGAAAAAAAATTAGCAAGCTGGAAGTTTTCCAACTTTCGTGATGCAAAACCCTAAATCAAAAGGATGGGAAAAAAAGAGTAGTCAGATGCTTCTCATCAAATCTTCATTCTTTTGGATCAAGGAAAAGTGATTAGAAAGTTATTTCCAGCTTATAGTAAGGTCAAGGGGGTTACTCATTTCCAAAGAGCTTTACTCTCCCCAGCATCTCAGGAGGATACTGGTGTAAGCACGTGGAGGTGCACCCCAAAAAGCATTGCCCCAACCCCACAGAGCAGCAGTGCAGCCCCCCCCCCCCCAGCAAAATCAGAGCCTGCTGTCTGGACTAAGGACTATACAGAGCTATCGCAACATCTGCACATACTTATTTTCTATAACCCCTGATCTATAGGAAATAAATCAGCCCAGCTAAGGGTGGTGCAGGAGAGCTGCTCCTTGAGGAAAAGCTGCTGGGTAGCTCAGTGCAGCCTCCACACAGGCTCTCCTTGGCTGTTCCTGCCTGACCTGGGGCTTCAAGTTCCCGTTGGCAAGGATGCTGGTATGCGTCAGAGCGTGTCCCCAAGCAGGAGCCACCTCGGAGGTGCCGGCACACACGGTGTAAATAAGAGGGAGGTGTAAATAAAAGCTCACTGAGCACAGCTGCAAACTTTGCTTCCATACCAAAGGGGACCTTCACTGGTTTTGCACCAGTTTGACCCCAGTCAAGTGCTGGAAATGCCCAATCCTGACTATTTTTATTGCTCTGTAATACGACATGAAGCCTCCACAAGGACACGTCTCATGCTCAGCCTTGAATCTCAGGACAAGCCCTCCAGGGAAGGCATTGGGGTCTAGCTGCTCTAGGGACCACAGCCTAAGGAAAGAGGTGACCCAAACTGGCTCTATCCCTAATATCCATCTCCACAATGCTCACCCAGATGCTTCCTGCCTTAGGTGTGGTGCTTGGGTGGGAGAGGGTGTTTGGAGGAGAAGGAGAGCATGGGGAGGCCCTTTTGGGGAAGGCATTTAGTGGTATCCCCCAGGGTGGTGGTGGAAAGGGGAAGATGTTAATACCCAGGATGGTTTGCTGGAAAAGACAGTGCTCTGCCTGGCGTGTCCACCCACTAAAAAACCCCCTCTGTGCTTTGAATCAAAGAAAGGATACTCCCATGTCCTCATTTACACCAGGGAAGGCCGTGGGGCGACTGGTGTAAGACCATCCATACCAGTCTGTGGTGGTGTGAAGTGGCAATGGATGAGGCCAATGTCCCATGGACCTTGTGGAAAAGCATCCCCTTTGCTGTACAGACCCAGGTGGAGGAAGAGGGGAGAAGGGACCCAGCCAGAGAGCATCCCCTGCCCAGTCCCACCTCAGCTGGAAGTGGGTCAGGAGCCACCTAAAATCCATGGATGGTGACGGGATGAGGAGATCGGCTGTGCCAAGCCTGTTTGTGAGGCAACAGGCAGGCTCCCAGTGCACCAGATATTTAAACAAGGTGTTTTGCTGTCACAGCCATATTTAATGCTCCAAGCAGTGTGTTTCCATGGGCAGGGTTTAGAAAGATGCTGTTCAAGGATGCTTTCGCCTTGGCTTCTCAGCTGAGAGCCAGAGTACTGCTTTCCTCCCTGCAATGTGGGAAGGGGTTGAAATCACGGAGAGTTTAGCCCATGGTCATCATCTAAAACATCCACAGGGTTTCCTGCCAGACCCTGGCTCCCACCATTGCCTCCAGGGCACAGCAGCTTGTCCCAGATCAGTGAGGCAGCAGGACCCATGGCTGCAGGGCAGCAGAGGGTCAGGGGGGTTCAATCCTGATCCTTGAGCAGATATTCCTGAGGAGGGGAGCGAGGTGCTTGTCTGCTTCAGACAGACACTGCATCCCAGGCTGCCTGCTTCCCCCCTGGGCCAGCTTTGGTTGCAGGCAGGGAAGCAGGCAGGGAGGATTACAGAGCAGCCAAAGTGCCTCAGCTGCTCAGCCATCACCCACACGTGACAGCGCGCGAGCAGCTCTGTGAGCAGCCGGCATCAGGTCCTGCCACATTTTGGGGGTGGCAGATGCCCCCTCCAACACTTGTGACACAGAGTTAGGAAACCAACCTGGCATTGCCTGTATCCCACCCCAGCATGGGGTCCCGATTTTTTGGGCCAGGATTTGGGGTGACTCCACTTGCCAGGAGCAGGAGGCAACTGCCAGGGCGTTATGTGGCTCCCTGCCAGGACAGGAAAAACCAAGGTGACATGCGAAAAGATAGTGTGGGGGGACAGAAAAAGCCCTGCCTGCTGCTCCTGCCCGCCCCACTGCCCTGGCACCCCAACCTGGTGATGCGAAAATCTCAGCTTTTGTTTAAAATTCACAGGGCCCCAGCCTCGAGGGCTGAGCGAGAAGCTGAGAAAACGTAATCAAAGGGCACCCTTAAGGGTTTAAAAATAGAAAAGAGGGAGGAAAAAAAATTTTAAACCCATATTATTACATGTTAAAGCATGATGATTCATCTGGCAAAGCCCCGTTTGGGAGAAGGCGGGGTTGGTATGTGCTCAGCAGGGACAAGCACCTGGGCTCCGGGCCCCCACCAGCCACCTTCCTGGAATAAAAATCACCTGCCCTGGAAGCACTGCAGTGACAGGGTCCCTGCTTTTAGGCAAACAGCTCTTGCTGCCTGACAGCACACCTTGCCTCACCCTGGCTTGGCCAGACCTTGCAGATCCCCATCTCCCACCTTCACTTACAAATTCAGGCTCTGGCCCTGTGGCTGCTGCCTCCAGAAAAACTCAGTCTTTAGTCCTGCAGATACTGCCACGTTGGACTTTGAAAGTGGAAAGGCCTTGACTCGAGATAAACATCATTTGCACTTGAAACACCACTGCAATAAGCCCAGCCAATCTTGTGGTGGACATCCATCCATCCATCCATCCATCCTTGGGGTGAATATCCACCCATTCATTCATTCAGCCACTCACTCACCCTTGGGGTGAACCTCCATCCATTCATCATCTCAGCCACTAGCAGGACACAAAGAAAAGTCTAACATCAACCACACATGGTTCAATCCATACCTGGAGAAGCTCATTTTTCCAGTTCCCTATGACTGTTATTTTTTAGCCTCCCCCTGAAATGAGCTGCACACGCTCATGACAGGCAGCCCCGAAATGTGGAGCACAGTCACCCTGCTGTCCCACCACAGTAGCAAACTCGGCTTGATGGGCTGATGTGTGGCAGAGAAAAACATAAAGAAAAAGCCACAAATTCCTTAAACAGCCATTATTAGTCAGGACTTCACAACCGGTCCACGCCCTCCCTGGATCGCAGCTTTCCCCGTGTCAGCATCCCAGCAGGCATTCCAAAGCTTGTGGCTGCTCCTGGTTTATATCCAAGTCCTCACGGGCTTCCCTGCTCCGTGTTGCAGGGCAGGGCTGTCCTGGAGGATCTCCGTGGGGTGAGAGAATGAAGAATCCTGCCAGGCAGCAGCAGGATGGGGCAGCAGGACCTCCCACGCGCTGACGGGCCCCCGCCGATGCTCCCGTGGCCACTGGCCCTGCTGGCCCTGAGCGCGTGCTGTCGCTGGGGGGTGGCCGGCGGGGCGGGCAGCACAGTGCCCCAGCAGCATGCTGCCCCCTCGACCCCTTCCTCTTCATCTTCCTCCTCCTCCACCCGCGCACCCCTCGACTGGCTCCTCACCGACCGCGGACCCTTCTACCGAGCCCAGGAGTACGTGGACTTCATGGAGCGCTACCGGCAGGGTTTCACCACCAGGTACAGGATCTACAGGTGAGAGAGGGGCCATGAGCACCCCGAGAGGGAGATGTGGGGTGGGGGGCTGCAGGGGGCACGGCAGACCCTCCCTAATCCACATGAGCTGACCCCAGTGTGTGGGAGGAGGCTGCCCATCAGCACAGACAGTGGGTGGGTGGATGTGAGATGCTGCTTTTCCCAGGGATGCTCGTGGTGTGGCCAGGCTGGGCTCCAGACAGGATTTGCCCTAAGCCAGGCGGGCTTTGGTGCAGAGGCTGGGATGGAATCAGCCCTTAGGCACAGAGCCCACTGGGCTGGATGGGTCTCATGCATACTCCAGCCCCTTTGGACATCCTCCACCTACTGATCTGCCCTGAACTGGAAACTGGGGAGAGCAGAAGGGCCAGCATGCACATGGCGTTCATCCTTCAGCCCCTTTGTCCTTTTGCCATGCACAGAGACATCTCTGTGCCAAGTTACTGAGCCTACCTGGACTTGCAGCCATCTGGGGCTGGGGTACTGCTGACTGACCAGCATGTGAAAAGCCACCCTGATTGACTCTCTGGCATGTCCCCAGTGCCATCACCCCCTGGACTGCTGCAGTGGGACGCTATATGTGTGGGGTAAAAGCTGGAGGGGGTTTCTTGTCAGCAGAGAACCAGATTTGGCAGCACTGGGGTCCACTGACTGCAGCAAAGGGTCACCCCATGATAGCCGCCCTGGGAAACCCACTCCACCACCTCCAGGACCTAAGTGGGGCTGTCACCTCCCAACAAGCCCTTTTTCCTTCCTTTCCTCGCCACCAGTGCTGAGCCCTGGGGGTTTCCAGCCTGCCCGCTGCCTCTTGGGAATGCTGACGTGGCTGCTGGGACGGCAGCCTTGTTATGCAGCCTGGCACCCCCAGAGAGCTTCTCTCCCCTTTCCTGTGTGCTGACACTGCCATGCCGAGGGACCCACATCCTCCGGGGATGTTGCTGGTGACGGTGGTGGGACGGGAAGGAGGACCTGAAGGAACAGCAGCTGCCTCACACCTCCTCTGAGGCAAAGAACATGCCATCAGCCTCCGGGACTTGCTTTGTCTGTGGGATGGGATGGAAGAAACTGGCACCCCAGCCCCAGTCCTGAGGGAATGTGCCTGCAAGGGGAGAGGCAGCATCCCCCCCAGCTCCGCTACTGGCACCAACATCCCACTTTCTAGGCCCAAAGATCATGATGGGAGGCAACCTGACATCCACCAAGCCCACTGGCTGCTTTGCAACCATCCACCCCTCTCTCCTTCTCCCTCGCTTTCCTCACCAGCCCTAATTAAACTGTCTGAAAGCCACCGCCTGGTTTTAATTAGAGCAAAATGCCAAAGATTAGGCTGAAATTTGCCGCCAGTTGTTTACACGACCATCAGTTGTTGGAGGCAGTGACAGGCTGGTGCTGCTCCCTGGGGCCAGGCGAGGCCAGGGGGCCCATTCACAGCCTCTGAGGCTACAACCCACTGCATCCCAGCACCTCCAGCTTCCAACAAAACACTGCCTATACTTAACACCACGATACTCCCAGATGTTGGATTTTCACCTGGATCTGTAGGCGTGGGGCTGGAGGATGGATGAGACCCATCTGGCCCAGCCCTGCCCTGGGCTGTGATGAATGCCTGCCGGAGGTGCTGGATTAATCAATATCAGGCATCTCCGCTGCTTGTAGCTCGTTATCAGCATCAATGGCTTAGGGAGGGACAGCACTTCTGTCCTGGCTGGATCCATACCTGGCGAGCACGCAGCAGATCCTTCCCCTCCGATGGGGAGGTCGGAATGATCCTGAGAGGAGTTTTCCAGCTACTCACCACCCGTCCTGAGGTGGAAACTGGGGACAGAAGAAGGGAGAGCATGCATGTGGCATGGCCAGACCTGCTTCAAACTGTCTCCCCACTGCTGCTCTCCTCCCGCAGAGAGTTTGCTCGTTGGAAGGTGAATAATTTGGCCTTGGAGAGGAAAGACTTCTTCAGCCTACCACTTCCCCTGGCCCCCGAATTCATCCGCAACATCCGGCTGCTGGGACGCCGGCCCAGCCCCCAGCAGATCACTGACAGCCTCATCAAAAAGTATGGGACCCACTTCCTGCTGGCTGCCACGCTGGGAGGTGAGTGCTGGGGGTCCTCCAACTCACTTCCCTTGCACAAGGAGCGTGCAAAGGAGGGAGAGTGGGAAAATAAGCACTGCAGGAGGAAATACAGCCAAGAAAGGGAATGTGGGGACCCCAGCAGCCTCCCAAAAGCATTGTGTGTCCCCCCAGGAGAGGAGTCCCTGACCATTTTTGTGGACAAGCGCAAGCTGAGCCGGAGGGCAGAGCCCGCTGTGGGGGCTGGGAACAGCTCGGGGGTCTCGCTGGAGACCCTGCACCAGCTGGCAGCCTCCTACTTCATCGACAGGGAGAGCACACTCCGGCGGCTCCACCACATCCAGATTGCCACGGCTGCCATCAAGGTGGGCGAGGGTGGGAGGGAGGGAGAGAGGGAGGGAGGGAGGGAAGGGGCAGAGCGGGGAAGCAGCAGCCCCGGGCCTCGCCAGTGGCCCCTCAAAGCTGGCTGAGACCCTCAAACAGCATCACCAGATAGGGCAGAGCACGGAAAGTTAACACCTTCCCGTTATTTCCGGGAAATTGGGCACGCTAATAAAGGCACATTTTTCAGCGGGCTGCAGGCAGGGCTGCCGCCTGTCAACAAGCCAATTAGCAGGTAATTAGTTGTCCTCTCCAAGCATTGCCTCACTTGGGCATGGAGTAGCACATGCCCTGGGTCCTTTCCTATGTCCCTGACCACCTGCACACCCCCCCTTAGGTGACCGAAACACGGACAGGGCCACTCGGCTGCAGCAACTACGACAACCTGGACTCGGTGAGCTCCGTCCTGGTGCAGAGCCCTGAGAACAAAGTGCAGCTCCAAGGTAGGACTGGGCTGGTGGGGACATGGAGATGGACGAGTGCCACCGTGGGATGCTTGTGGGTGCATAGGGGGTTGTAGGGGAGGATGCAGGCACAAGATGCTGCTTTTAATTTAAGGGCTGGGGAGGAGAGGGGATGAAAGTAATGAAAGCTGGGCAGGATGAGGTTGTTGCTTGTCTGCCAAGAGGAGCCAAGATCGATGCAAAGCCCAGACAAGCGGCTCCATAGCAAATTGATATGATAATCGTGCGAGGGTGGGCGCCCAGGGCGGAGAGGAGGCTCATGCCCTTGTCGCCCGGGCAATGTTTGAGGGGCTCTGCGGGTGCCCTGACGCTCCCGGGGCTGCCTCCCGCTTGCAGGGCTGCAGACGGTGCTCCCCTCCTACCTGCGGGAGAGGTTCGTGGCGGCCGCCCTCAGCTACATCGCCTGCAGCTCGGCCGGGGAGCTGGTGTGCCGCCGGAGCGACTGCCGCTGCCAGTGCCAGCCCGCCTTCCCCCGCTGCAACTGCCCCGAGGCCGACATCCAGGCGCTGGAGAGCAGCCTAGCCCAGCTCTGGAGAGCCTGGGAGAGCCACCACGGCCAGTTCGAGGAGTCAGGTGAGGCTGGGGAGACCCTACCAAGCATCTCCTTCCCCTTGTGAGCAGACCAGGCTGGGCGGTGGGGCTCCAGGGTGGTTATCTAACCGTGAAGACCTCGGAGCTCGGGTGGAGGGAGGTGGCTGTCAGCCTCACCTTCACTGCTTGCTCTCCTGATGCCGTCTCTTTCTCTGCACAGAGGAGTTTCAGGCCTTGGTGAAGAGGCTCCCCATGGACCGTTTCCTGAACAGGACGGCCATCTCCCACTTCTGGGCCATGGATCTGGATGTCCAGCATCGCTACCAACAGCTGGGCACCAGCCTGAAGCTGCTCTCCAGGAAAACCTACCGACTCATCCGGCGGCTCTTCAACCTCAGCAAGCGCTGCCACCGGCAGCCGCGCTTCAAGCTGCCGAAGGAGAGGTAGGGTGTCCCAACATCCCCATCCCGTGCCAGGGATGCTGCTCAGCTGCCCGAGGAGGGCTCAGATCCACAGCCCACTGCCCTGTGGCTGGGACTGGAGGAGCTCCTGCCTTGCTGGAGGGGTGCCTGGGGATGAGCAGACAGCATGCCTCTGCCATGCCACCTTGGGATGTGGCCCTGAGAGGGGGTCCAAACCTGGAGGTGGAAAATGGGGCTCAATTCATAGGGGGCCACCAGCGGAGCAGAAGATGAACACAAAGTGGGGAGCTCTTCCATCCCTAGGGAAAGTCAATTGTGTCCCAAGTAAGCACCTCTCCTTCTGTGTCTGCTCTCCATCAGGTCCCTCCCTTACTGGTGGAGCCGTGCACAGTCGCTCCTGTACTGCAGCGAGACCACCGTGCCTGGGACCTTCCTGGAAGAAAGCCACAGCTGCACCTGTCCCTCGGACCAGCCCTCCTGCCAGGGCTCCATTCCGTGTGCCTTGGGCGAGGGGCCAGCCTGTGCCAGCTGTGCCGAGGACAACAGCACCCGCTGCGGGACATGCAACCACGGCTACGTGCTCACCCAGGGCTTCTGCCGCCCCGAGGTGGCCGACTCGCTGGAGCACTACCTGGGGCTGGAGACAGACCTGCAGGACTTGGAGCTCAAGTACCTCCTGCAGAAGCGGGACAGCCGCATCGAGGTGCACTCCATCTTCATCAGCAACGACATGCGCCTGGGCAGCTGGTTCGACCCCTCCTGGAGGAAGCGCATGCTCCTGACCCTGAAGAGCAACAAGTACAAGCCCGGGCTGGTTCACGTCATGTTGGCCCTCTCCCTGCAGATCTGCCTCACCAAGAACAGCACGCTGGAGCCCGTCATGGCCATCTATGTCAACCCCTTTGGGGGAAGCCACTCGGAGAGCTGGTTCATGCCCGTCAATGAGGGCAGCTTCCCAGACTGGGAAAGGACTAACGTAGATGCCTCTGCCCAGTGCCAAAACTGGACGCTCACCTTGGGCAACAAGTGGAAGACCTTCTTTGAAACGGTCCACGTCTACTTGCGGAGCCGCATCAAGTCCCTGGATGACAGCTCCAATGAGACAATCTACTATGAACCCCTGGAGATGTCAGATCCCTCCAAGAACCTGGGGTACATGAAAATCAACAGCTTGCAAGTCTTCGGCTACAGCCTGCCCTTTGAGCCGGATGCTATCCGTGACCTGATCCTCCAGCTGGACTACCCCTACACCCAGGGCTCCCAGGACTCGGCCATGCTCCAGCTGCTGGAGATCAGGGACCGGGTGAACAGGTTGTCACCCCCTGGCAAAACCCGCCTCGACCTCTTCACATGCTTGCTCCGCCACCGGCTCAAGTTGGCCAACAACGAGGTGGCGAGGATCCAGTCCTCTCTGAGAGCCTTCAACGCCAGGCTGCCCAACGCCCTGGAGCAGGAGACAGGCAAGCTGTGCAGCTAACGGCCTCGGAGCCAGGGGGCTGGGAGAAAGGACTTCCTGGGGAAGGGGGGGGGAAACAACCACCCTAAAAAAAAATTTAAATCAAGGCCTTACCTTAGTGCCAACCGCGTGCTTCCATGGTACACCCAGCGACTGGCCAAAGAGACACGGGGCTCGAGCGGATGGAGGGTGCCAGGGGACTGTGGAGGAAGGATGGCTCGTGCAGCACAGTCTGGCTCCAGGTGCAGGGATGATGCCAGCACAGCCGCCACATCAGTGGCCGGGGAGATGTGCCAATGGCCCAGGGGGATGTGGCCTGGCCAGAGGCAGCTGCTGGTCCTGCTGGAGCAGGCGCCCCACCCACCGTGAGGATCCCCCGGCAGCGGCCTCCTCGTCATCCCAACTTTTGTAGTCTTTTTAAGAGGTTTCTACAGGCGCCTTTGCACCCACATCCCCCATGATCCATCCTGCAGCCAGACCCTCGCACACAGTGCTGGTGGGGGTCCACAGCACAGCAGGGCCCTGAGATCCAGCAGATCTCCCCTGGGCCCTCTTCAGAAGCATCTCACACCTGCTGGGGCACCAAGGCATCATCCCTGCCTTGTGTGGGAAGGACCTGGCACCTGCACCATGGACGCTGCCAGCACAGACACCGGCGGAGACCTCTGGGCCACAATTCCCTACAAAAAAAACAAAAAACCCTAAAGCAAAAGAAAGAAAAAAGGAAAAAAAAAGTTTTATTTATGTATTTATTTATTTGGTTTGTTTGGGAGGGGTTTTTTTAAGCTTATTTATTTGGGGAGTGTCATTTCTTGTCAGTGGCTCCAGCCAAGAGACATCTTAGTAAAATGTATCTGTTTAATATATTTTTTAAAAAAATGCCTTTTTTGAGCAAAAGAGCAACCAAAACCAACTGAGATTAAAAAAAAAAAAAAAAAAGAAAGAAAAGAACAGAACAGTTACTGTCATCCCTGGCCCTGGCTTTTCCTGTGCTGTGAGGCTCCTTCCCTCTCTCCCTCCTTCCCGGTGCTGCTGCCACTGCCGTGCTCAGTGCCTGACTGGAATATCAAGCAGTGGAGCTGCCCGTCTGTCAGATGGGAACGATGGGTACCCAGACAAGTGGAGCTCACTGCTTCACTGGATGCCCTCATTCCTAGGATGAGGATGAGCTAGGGAGAGGAAGGAATCAACCCTCTGACCCACAGCATCCGCAAAGCAGGAGGTGTGGACACAGGGGATGGTCCAGGGAAAAGGAGAGGAGTGTGAAAAGTGTAGCAGTGTGTAGATCTGAGCCTGCTCCCTCATCCTCCCTGCCTGTCAAGACTTGCCTGCTTGGATGCTGCAAAAGCAGTGGTAACCCAAACTCATCCATCCTGCTTCTGTCACCCGACTCTCCTCCATCCTTGGGCTGGGCAGATAAAGAGATAAACATGAGTAAAATAACACCAGGAGAGATAAATAGATAGGTGAGAGGAAAATAAAACTGGGATAAATAAACCACACTTGCTATTTATATTCCCTGTCTAATCTATCAATCCATCAACCTGGTTCTTGTGGCTGTAGCATCCCTCAATCTGTCAGCTGGATGTCTCTTCTCCACACATCTGTCTTCCTTTGCCCACCTCTCCTCCCTTGCGTCCCAGTCCTAAAGGAAAAAAGAAAAAAATCAGGCAATTAAACACACCAGGAGGAAATGGGAAGTCAAAGCCATCATCTCTGCTCCCCAGGGGAAGCCAGGAGACATCAGCCCAGGGATGAGGAGGGAAGGCTGGCAATGTTCCTGAGCAGGCAGGGCTGCTGGGAGGCTTCCCAGCTAGTAAGGCTATTTTGGCTTCTGCTATGCATGTTCCTGGGCCTTCACATCGCTTCTTGGTTGCCCAGAGAAGCTGTGGCTACCCCATCCTTGGAAGTGTTCAAGGCCAGGTTGGGTGGGGCTCTGATCAACCTAGTGCCCTGTCCATGGCAGGAGGTTTGGAACCAGGTGAGCTTTAAGGTCTCTTCCAACCCAAACCATGTGATGACGGGGAGATTCTTCTCCCCATCATCACATGAGCCATGTGTCAGGCTAACATTTCTCTACTCCACCCTCTGTCTTCTCCAGACAGAGCATTTCCTACTGTGTTTTTCAGTGCCCTGAACCAGTCTCACATCCTAAACCCACCTGAACATGAATGCAAGAGCTGTTGGGATGATTGGCAGAATCTCATGGAGCCCCTTGAGGCGTGGGGGGGCAGCTTGCACCCACTGAGGGATGGACCCCAGGCTTCTCTGCCTTGGTGCTGGATCCAGAGACAGGCAGCTGTGCAAGGACAGAGGTGGATGAAGGCTCTTTACTTTCAATCTAATGCAAAAAATAAAAAGGGGGAGAGAGGGGGAGGCAGACAGCTGGAGAGATGTGCTGTCAACTCTGCATCCTCAGCAGCTGCCCCCAAGTCTGCACTCTCCTCTCTCCACAGCTCTCCCCCCAGCAAGATTCCATCAACTATGGACCAAAAGAAAAAGTTTGGCCCAAAATTGCCAATTCCCATCAGGAATGAGGCGGTGCACAACATTCCAAGGTTGGCAGCTGGCACAGCACCTTCTCAGCAAAGCACCCCATTGGGACAGACAAAACCATCAGCCCCCAACACCATGGGGCTGCACACTCTCTTTAACCCACTGGAGGAAAAGACAGGGCTGGTTCCTTCAATTTTGCTGCCAAATTGCTGTATTTTGGGAGAGAACCACTTCTACCTTTTCGGGGGGTTTGGGGGGTAAGTGTGTGAGTTAGAGGAAGAGCAGCAGCAGTGCACGTGTCCCAGGAAGGGACTGCCAGGCTGCATGGGAATCTCAGGTGGAAGCAGCCAGGTCCTCCCATCCCTGTTGGGCAATTAAGGCACTCAATGGAGGTGATTAAGAGGATGAGGTTAATAACTGGAGGTCAGCATTTGATTACCTTGCAGTGCTTTCCCCTGCAAAGAACAACGCCAATGGCAGCAGAGCTGGCTGGAGGGTCACTGCTGCACAGCACCAGCAGGGTCTGGCCTCGGGATGTAAACAGCCAGTGTGCCACCCTGAACCAGGAATTCAGCGTCAAACCCATTAGGTTTTAAAAACTGGGTTTATCCTTACCTGGGCTCTATGTTCACAGGAGATTCTCTGCAGCACGAAAGCCAGAAAACTGCCTTTAAATAACGAGCAGAGCTCCTCACTTGCTTGACTGCAGACACCTCGGTTCCCTCTGGACACATTTATTCAGCAGCTCTGCCAGGGAAAAGGAGGCCAGGGAAAGGCTGGGATGTTTCACCCCCAGGCCCAGCAGCAGGAGGGGGTTATCTGCAGAGCTCTCCCCAGGAAGAGCTCACGGCTCCCAGATGGGGGCTGGTCCCACCTCCGTGTCCCGCCCTGAGACTGCCAGTGATGGGCTACAGCTGAACCAAACAGCTCACAGCTCCAGCTGTCTAACTGACACCCTTTTCCCCCTTCCTGTTTTCACCCTTTTTCTGCAGCACTGGCTGAGCCTCCAGCCCTGTGTGCCGAGGGCATCACCACATCAGGCTGTGCCGAAACAGCCAGGACAGTTTTTCCATGACGAGCCAGGATGGAGAGATGCTGTGGGGCTAAATCTGCATCCTTGCTCCAGCCTGCCTCAGTTTATGCTCTCATAGCTCCCAGCTGATGCTGTGTCAGCCTGGGAGAACATGGAATGTGCAGGGAATAAAACATCACAGGAGAGGAGGGAGGGTTGAGGAGGGTAACACTCTCTTTGCGTGCAAAATGCATGTTGGTGCAGATGTTGCTTGAAATCCATCACCATGGTCTCTTGGTTTGGGCTGCAGGATGGGCAAGAAGTGGGAATCACACGTTTGGCTTGGCAGGAGGCTTCATGCTGAGCATTTTACCCAGGGCTCCTCTGGCTCTGTTAGGTGCACAGAACCACCAGGCAGCTGCCAACAGATCTGCTCTGCTGTTTGACAGCATTTCTGGGGGAGGCAGGCGATACCAGTTTGCCTGCAAACCTCTCCATGCCAGCACGGGGCTGCTCCAGCTTCTTCCTCATAACACAGTTTTACCACAGGTACCAGAGATGCCCCTGGGCACGCATGGGATCACCACTTACTCTCCCAACTAACCCAGCAGATGGTGGGATGTGATCCCTGGGAAACCAGCATCCCCTGGTTGGGCAGTGTCCTGCTCCAGAGCTGCCAACACAAGCCCACAAACTTGTCATGGTTCTCTTCACACTCCAGGCTCATGGGTGGTGGGGTTTGCCATCAGCCTCCCTGCTTCCCACTGCCTCTCTGAAGCCCAGTGGCATCTGCATAGCCAAGAGATGAGCCAAAACCTCTTTTTTAGCCTCATCTTTTTTTTCCTCCCCCTTCTCCTGACAAGATCAGAAGTGCAGTCAAGGTGGCAAATTAGCACCAGAGCCTCATTAATTGGCAGGCAGGAGCCTTCTCCTGCTGTTTGGGCTGTCATCAGGTGCTTCAGCACATTTTCAGCTTCTCTCTCTTTGGGTCTATTTTCTCCCTTTGCCAATGGTGGGCTGGGTTTTTCCTCTTTCAAATCCATCGAGGCTCTCATCCTCCCATGCCATGCTCCCTGGTGTTTTCTCTCCAGGGCCTGTGGTAAATGGCCACTTCTTAGAGAGCATGAGGGGACAATTAATAGGCTCTTGAAATGATGACAACCTCATCTTCTTCCTCCCTCTTCCTCCTCCTCAGCTTCCTGCTGCAGTCTCTGAAGAAGGCAGGAGAAGCAGCACAGTGCAGGTAAGAGGGAAGTTTCTGTGAACCCAGGTATGCAGGAGATATCCCAGTCACCCTTCTGTGTCCCCACTAGGAGCCCAGTGAGGACCTGGGGTGGCTCAAACTGGTGGGGACCTCAGGAATCCCCGATTCCAGTTCCTCATCTCCCTTCTTCCTTCCCCACTGACTCCTCCTCAAGCAAAGATGGAAAAGCACAACCTTACCCCCCCAACCCCACCGCCTGCACTACCTCTTGGCCTCCTTGAGTGCCCTCAGCTGCTCCCAGCTCTCAAGGAGACCCTGGGGAGACCTCTTTAGACACCATCAAATAAAGCCTCTTCACAGCATCCCATTCTGCAAGCAGAGAAATTTGCTGGGGACCGAGAATGACGACGGCAAATTGCTGTTTCCTCCCCAGGCTCAGGGCTGGGAGCTGCTGCTGCCAACAGTGGTACCACCATGCATTAAATACGGGTGCCCTGCCCTGGGCTGGCACCTCAGCCAGCGTAAATCAGCCCTGCTGGAGCCAGGGGCATGGCTGATTCATGGCCAGGAGCCTGGCTGGAGGACTTACCTCATCAGGCTGGACCCTGACCCCCCATCCTGGGACAGTGGTCCCAGGAGAGAACCCCCCTGGGACACTGAACCCCCCACAATGCTCCCAGGGGACCTCTGGGCTGTGCTTCTGGATCAAAGGTTGAGACAGTTGAATTTTGGTGGGATGACAGGATACATTTTGGAGGGATCTTGCTAGAGGGTAAAGCTCTGTGGAATAATATCCCAGACGAATCTGCAAGACAGACCTCTTGCTCCTGCTACACATGCCAGGAGCAGAGACTGACTGGATGGAAAGAAAGAAGGAGAGAAATCAGTCAAATTATTTTTAAAAGTGTTCTCCCAGCCTACAGGCATCCTCTTCTCTGTACACAAACCCTCCTGGGATACACAAACCCTCCCAGACCATCTGCCTCAAAATCAGCAGTGGTTGCTACGCCGGTTACCACCTTCCAGCTTTTCCCTTAATATGATTGCCTGAGATAGTTCCTCTCCTTTTCCTTGCCCCTGGCATTATCGATCCACTCAGGGAGATGGGAATTGAGGGAGATAAAGGGTCTCAGGGGCCTATTTCTCCACCTGTA